GAGCCAGAAATGATAAATGTTCAGCGAGTGAGCTAGGATTTCCATAACATATTTTTAAAGGACTATCTCTAGCTGACGATAGCCCTTCTAACTACGAGTATGTCGAAAAGAGAATTTTGTAGCGTATCCCGGACAATTTTAATGAATTCCTAAACGGCCTTCACTTTTCGTCAACGATTTTATTCATGAGACTTCCACGGCTTGTTTTTGACACCAGGATTCCTTTGACCATTTTCTGGGCAAATCGCAGTGACCTCCCTTATCAGGGAAATTTAGCCTTGCAGTAGAAAACAAGAGCTATAAATTTTGACTTGTTTTGTTTGTTAACTGCTGTTTTTGGCCGCAGTTCGCCTTGCGAATGTTTCACAAGAATGCTGGGTTGTGAACAAAACTTTCGCCCCAGACGGGACAATATGTAGCTACAATTTTAATTGGCTAAGAGGGTTTTGGGTGCACGACTTTTTGATGGCCCTATGTTTCGCCCAAATCGCCTTCATCAATGGTCCGGTCCACCATCGCATAGCGGAACAACCCCTCTTCACCACTCAAAGTCAATCTCTTCGCCGTATATCCACTTATAAACTAGCAACTATTGGGTAACTGCTACCTTTTTTAGGGGTAGCAGTTACCCAACAGCAGTTACCCAAAAGTCACTTCTCGTATTAAAATCAGTCGTTCTATGCTGCCCATGTTCCACAAACCCTCGGAGCACATCTGGCCTGACTGTTGGTAGCGAAGGGTTTTTCTAGTGGACACACAAAATTCCAAGCTATTACAATGATGTTCGCGCGCGATTGAGAGCTCCAGTAGCAGCCGCAGCAGCTGTTGGTACTTTCGGCTGTCGGGTGGGAGGTGAGGAGGGACGGTCGAAGTAAATCCAACACAAACTAATTAGCTAAGAGAAAATGATACACTTACATGGAATACACCAAGGAAAACACGAGAAATCAAGGAAAATGACGAAATGACGAATAGGAGAAAATTTGGACGGATCAGGAATAGGGTATTAAACCCACCCCGTCTCCGTTTTGGTCATGGACCATCTGCTTACCTGTAACGTTTGCTGCCATAGGTCAACACGGTCGTGATCTGGTGGCGGCGGCGGCTCCTCGTCGTCTGCCGACGACATCATGCTTTGCAAAGCTGAAAGGCGGTCGTATAAAATGCGTAGGATTACTTCAAATACCAACTGACTAGTAGATGTAATCAGCGAGGTTTTTTTGAGTGTGATAAAAGTAGGCGGCACAAGTGCTTAAACCAAGACTCAAGCCGCTACTGCACACATTCAATTCAATTGACGGCACCCTTTTCCCTCATCATCTTACGCGCATCTCTCGGGATTGTGCAAATATTGTGGTCCAAAGCCACAGAAGAGCTGAGTGCATGTTGAGTCGTCTGGCTTACAGTTGGCCGGCTGACACATCCCGTGCCCCATTTCTCAGGCGACACTGTAACGTCTATTGTCCAGCGGCATGACTCAGGGTTACTGTATGGGACTGTAGCCGCCTTCAGACCGTCGGTGGGTGCCATTGAGAGGCAGGATGAGTCGCTTGCGTAAGCTCCTCTTAGTCACCTGGTTGGCAGTAAGACTGAATTGCATTATATAGCAAAGATTAATTGTAGTATAGCAAAAATAACGTACTTGTCATGTTGAGGGCAGCATTTGAGTATTGGGGGAATAGAAATTGAGGGAATTAGATAGATAGATATAGAGAATGAGTGAGTGAGAGAGAGAGAGAAAGCGCGCTCTCTCTCGTTCCCCAGATCGATAAGTGCCGAGCTAGCTAAGCTAGCCAACCAAAAGACTCCGCCCTCGCACACACGACGACGAAGGCGACGACGATCCTCCACTAGCGCTCGTTCCTCGCCACTCAAATGCCACCACGCATCCGCTGTCGCCATCAGTGCGCATCCGTCCGTCCGTCCGCCACGCCGCCGCAAAAGCACGACGGCGGATGCGCCCAGCTAGCTGTCTGCGTCACGACGTCTTCGCGACAGCTTCCATCCCTATCCATTCCTCGAAATCTACTCCATGGACTTGATTCATTGTTCAGAACGAATGTGACCACCACAACAGAAAACTTCCGATATGGTCCACTGAGTCCCATTTCGAAGGGATAAATGTTGCATTCGCCGTGTTGGAATGCGCCACGCATTCCACTTCCATTCAAAATCGTATGCGATTTGGCCTATACAATGACTTGCGGGGGCCAGCCGATGTTCAAGTCAGTGTTTTTATCCTCCCAGACAAGTCTGGTACCAATTAACCGACCCCGGAGGGATGGAAGGCTTGGTTGGCCCGGGCGACTCACGACCCAGGATTTGATCCCCGGACCGCTCGCGTGGTGCGCGCCACTTGTCACTCTACCACTCCCGTCCTCCATATAAATATATAAATATAGAGGCTAAAATTTAACAAATCATTTTGAGCAAATAGCGCGATTGATTACGACGCAGTTTGTTGAAAACACTGATTCGAAGAAATTTAATTCGGGTTGAAAAATAGGGCCCGAAGCGGTACGCCTTGTAGGGATGGCAAAAAGGAAGAGATGCAGGCATGCTACTGTGGACATAACCTCTGCTTTTAAAACGAGACCGACTGCTGGTATGAAGGGAGAGGGAGCAGGGTCAAGCGTGCGTTGAGGAATCC